AAACATATTTTAAATCAGTTAATTTATTACACACACGCACACACACACACATATATATATATATATATATTAAACTCAGTTGTATCGCTTCAACTATAGATAAAATGTATTGTTGGTAATTTTACTATAAATAGGTATTCTTGGTAGGTTGATTTTGTTTAGTGTCCTATCAATGTTTATAGGTTATTTAATGCCGAAATCTAAATATTTTCAATTATAGATACTGAACATTTTCAATTAAAGGTATGTTTTTTAGATATAAAGTTTACATATCATAAAATGTATTATTAGAAAATTTACTATAAAAATGTATTTTGTATATTTTTATTGTTGCATTGATTGTAATTTTGGGACAAAAATCTACTGTTGGTCATTTTATTATAAAAATGTACTGTTGGTTTTTGTTTAGCAGTTGACTATTCGCCCATAGGTAACAGGTTCTACCACCCCAGGTCAGGGTGAAGCTGTGAACAACGGAGGTTAAGAGGTAGTTCCACACCCCTCAAAAGCTCCAGTCTCTGCATTAGAAGCTTTGCTGCCAAAAGTAGTTTATCGTTATACCCAGAAAACATTTCTTAAAATATTGACCAGCATTCATATTTATGATTGTTATTGCAATATATTGTTAGAGTTGTTAACCTTAAATAAATAACGATGCGATAGGGGAATTTCTACTGATATTTTATTGTCGTAGAGCACGCCATTAATATAATTCAGTTAATAATTTGAACATAAAAAATCAGAAATTTGAAATAGGAAATGTTTAAAATCATCAATGATTAAAACTCGTGTATTTTAAATGTTTTACGTTAAATGTGAAAATAGGGTTCTGGGAGATGCATTTACGTCATTTGATGCCGTTTTGTTTCCGGAAATTCAAAAAAAAGAAACGCGATAAAAAGATCGAAAAATTAGAGGGTCGGAAAGATGCATTTACGTCATTTGATGCCCTTTTGTTCCCTGAAATTCAAAAAAAGAAACGCGATACAAACATCGAAAAATTAGAGGGTCGGAAAGATGCATTTACGTCATTTGATGCCGTTTTGTACCCAGAAATTCGAAAAAAGAAACGCGATACAAACAGCGAAATTTAGAGGGTCGGGGAAATGCATTTACATCATTTTATGCCCTTTTGTTCCCAGAAATTCTAAAAAAGAAACGCGTTACAAACATTGAAATATTAGAGGGTCGGGGAGATACATTTACGTCATTTGATGCCGTTTTGTTTCCGGAAATTCGAAAAAAGAAACGCCATACAAACAGCGAAAAGTTAGAGGGTCGGTGAGATGCATTTACGTCATTTGCTACCATTTTGTTTCCTGAAACTCAAAAAAAGAAACGGGATTCAAACATCCAAAAATTAGAGGGTCGGTGAGATGCATTTACGTCATCAGATGCCCTTTTGTTTCCAAAAATTCAAAAAATGAAACGCGATGCAAACAGCGAAAAATTAGAGGGTCGGGGAGATGCATTTACCTCATTTGATGCCGTTTTGTTTCCGGTAATTCAAAAAATAGAAAAGCCATTCAAACATCGGAAAATTAGAGGCTCGGGGAGATGCATTTACGTCATTTGATACCCTTTTCTTTCCGGAAATTCAAAAAAAGAAACGTGATACAAACAGCGAAAAATTAGAGTGTCGAGGAGATATATTTACGTCATTTGATGCCCTTTTGTTTCCTGAAATTCAAAAAAAGAAACGCTATGCAAACAGCGAAATATTAGAGAGTCGGGGAAATGCATTTACGTCATTTGATGCCCTTTTGTTCCCGGAAATTCGAAAAAAGAAACGCGATACAAACAGTGAAAAATTAGCGGGTCGAGGAGATGCATTTACGTCATTTGATGCCCTTTTTCTTTCCTGAAATTCAAAAAAACAAATGCGATTCAAACATACAAAAATTAGAGGGTCGGGGCGATGCATTTACGTCATTTAATGCACTTTTGTTTCCTGAAATTCTGAAAAAGAAACGCGTTACAAACAGCTAAAAATTAGAGGGTCGGGGAGATGCATTTACGTCATTTGATGCTCTTTTGTTCCCGGAAATTCGAAAAAAGAAACGCAATTCAAACATCGAAAAATTAGAGGGTCGGTGAGATGCATTTACGTCATTTGCTATCATTTTTTTTCCATGAAATTCAAAAAAAGAAACGCGATACAACCAGCTAAACATTAGCGTGTCGGGGAGATGCATTTACGTCATTTGATGCCCTTTTTCTTTCCTGAAATTCTAAAAAAGT